TTTGCGTCTTCTAAAGAAAATAAAGAACCTCAATTTCTAAGATATTTCAGGATTTCAGATTCTAGGGAGAGGGGGGAGAAAGTGAAGGGGTTATGCATAGATTCGTCACTGCCCGTGAATGACGTTGCTATCCCACTATGGAAAATATTAAAAATATGCTGTCAATCTTACTCCTTATGTTTGTGTTTAACATTTGGCGTATGTTTATATATATATATATATATATATATATATATATATATATATATATATATATATATATATATATAAAAGAGACCAACAGCTAAAAAAAACATAAGTAAAATATCAATAGAGAAAATAAATAGGACATTTTTAACTTTTCTTATAAATAAAAAACTAGTTTCCTACAACTAAATATTAAACTCAGCATAGTAACATTCACGAGCGTCAGATTGCTTTAAATAATTTTAAAAAAACAAAAAACCTCAAAGTTTAATAAATTTTGAGAAAAAGGAAGTAAAACATTTTACTGTTTGTTTTTAGTAACAAAATAAAGCTGCTTGTACTACTCTTTGTCACTAAAAAATAAACAACTTTTTTTTAAGTTAACAACATTTAACATTTTATCAAGTCTACAAATAAACGATACATAAACTAATTTTTTTTTTTATAACATTTGCATTAAAGGATACAAACTATTTGTTTTAGTTACAAAAGAATGCAAAAGCAAAAATGTTCAAAAAATGCAAACTTATAATAAAAAAAATACAAACTTATAATAAAAATAATTTTATAATAAAAAAAGTCTATGAAACTAATAATTTCGAATAATTTATAAATCAAATTTGAATAATTTGTAACTACACCAAGCGTAGACTTTTTTTTTTTGATTCTCAATAGTTTTAAGTACTCACGAACTTTTCAAAATTATTTTTCAAACTAGTTTTAAATTTACTGGTAAATTTAGATTATGTTTCTCCGATACAATAATTACATACAGATGACCAATAGGAGACTAATCCTCACAAGATTTCCGTCAATTTTAGAGCTGTACTAAAATGGGGGTAAGATTCTGGACATTAGGCTATTGTAGTGAGGTCCAATTGTATTGCAATATTGAATAGTATAGCTTGGAAAAATAAAAAGATGGATTCAAGGAGGTCTGCTGCAAAAAACGCCACTTGTCGAGCGGTGTTAATATAGACTTCGGGCTCACCAAAATGTCATTTGCGATGAATTCCAAAGAATGGGGATCATTATATATTCAATACTTTATTTTAATTGGTTATAACAGTACAAATATTTTTTATCTGTGGTTCCTCCCATTTCAACATATTAATACTTATATTATACTTATGGTATTGAAATAATAGTTAGTCAAGCTGTTTATTACACTAGGGCGCAGGCTGTAATTTATATTATTACTTTTTACGAACCTACTTAGTTTTTATAAGACTAGCATAGCATAGCAATATACCATTTATTTTTCTCAATATTCAATCATTGATACAGCTGCAAAGTAGTATAGGTCACTGCATCACAGGCAAACGATTTAAGATTTAATTTAAGTTAACTTTTCTTTTTATTTTATTTCTTATTTTTCTTTTGGTTATGCTAACGATTAATACACCAGCAAACGTTTAGGCGTGGTGCAACATACGCAATTTTTCACTTACATAAGATGCTCATAACGCCAACAGAGACTATTTTTACATTTAAAATAAGTCTAACAACCTCTTTTTTGATTGTTATTAAACAGTTCTACAATACAAAAATTTTTTCTCAGAATAACCCGTGGTGACAAAAATTTGGCACAATCTTTGAGAAGCTAAAACTTATTGAATTTTTACTTATTTAGTCTTACTTTTTTAGTTGTTTTGTTAAAAAGTGTTAGTTATCTTTTACTGAAATTTTTTTTTACTTGGATTAATTAATAAAAAAGTTATCCAAAAATGAAGCCAACTACATTAATTGAACAAGTGTACAACTATTGTAATTTGCATCCCAACGCTAAAACGAAGAGCATCGTAGAGTATTTTTTTGTCTCTAATCACCCCAAAAGAACCATCAAACGTTATATGGTAAAGTGGAAAACAATAAGCGAAAGTCTCATAAGCCTGGATCAGACAGAAAACCAAAAATTATGACTGATAGAAAAATCAATCACCTGAAAGGCCTTTTGAACAACCAGTCTGGAACTTCAACAAGAAAAATTACAAAAAAATTCAAGTGTGATCGTTCCTTCATTGTAAAAACATTAAAAAACAAAACGAACATTTGTTATTTTAAGAAAAAACAAATCCCTGATTGCATAATAAATAATTAAAGCAGCTGCAACTGAAGTGTGGAAGTGTGAAGTGTCACGGTTTCTGAATTTGTCGCAAATTCAGAAACCGTGACTATGTCATTGACGATGAGTCTTATTTAACATTTAAACATACGAATAAAAATTCTAATGCTGGATTTTACTCAGGAGAAGCAAAAAATGCACCAAAACAAGTAAAATATAAGCGCCAAAGTAAAATTGAAAAAAAATATT